CCCAAAACCCCAAAACCCCAAAACCCCAAAACCCCAAAACCCCAAAACCCCAAAACCCCAGCTTGTAAAGAATATTGAAGATAATAAGACTTTTAGCTAATATAAATAATTTTTGCATAAAATGGACAAACCTCGGAACTTGTATGCTCTGCATAGGAAAAACTACCTCCGGAGAACGGGAAATAACAATTCTAAGCAACAAAATAACTTCTCATCCCAGAATAACCACCACCGTATTCCAAACTTTCGTTTGGTAAGTCTTTAAACTCATCCCAAAGTTATTAACTAAACCCCTGTTGCATATTTCTTCTCTAAATTCACTAACATCTGGAAGGCTATCTACACTATTCTTAGTGTAATCCATTCACGCTCTAAATTTGCTAAAGAATTTAGATATCTGCTTGGCTAAGCTGGGTTTTTAGGATTTTGAAGGGAAATTTTAGGAATTTTAGGAAGGGGAGGAGGAGGGAGTGGGGGAGGGGGAGTTGGGGGTTAGAGGGGGGAAGTATAGTTGAGTGTGATAGGTTAGAGCAGATCTTGGTAGGGAGAGAATAATAGAATTGGATGGAAATTTTGATGCTGTTTGAAATATTTAGGCAAGATTGTTAATATATAGACTGTTTTAGAACAAAATAGTTTGTTTTAATGGGTAATTTATAATTAAAATATCTAGTAGATGGTGGATAAAACTGACTATAGTTCTCTCTGATCCTTTGTGGGTTCAATCTAGTCTAAAATCTATTATCAGATATTAAATTTATCAGATAATTAATTCGAAATATGACCAGAACTATTTATAACTTTATCTTTACGAAATTATCAACATCTAGGCTAAAAAATATCAAGATGATCATTCAGTCTTTGGTCGATTAGAAAATGCTTTTTGTAGCTCTATTTGTTAACCCCATAAAACAACATTTGTAGTACTAAATAATATCAGCTTTGAGATAAGCAAATCTGCCAGACCTGATTAATAGCTAAAGAAAAGGAGGGTTCTTACAGTTAAATAACGCATAAATTTCTAACAGCTATAGTTTGACAACTTTTATGCCTTCTAAAACCACCTAGAATATATTTTTGATTTCTGTAACTGTCTTAAATAATCTGTCATATTAAAAATACTTTAATTAATTCTGGAATTTGGGAATTATGAATAAGAAATCAAGTCTTCCCTTCTTTAACGTTCAACTGATAATTAATTTAGAAAGGCAAACATAAATAAGATGCAGAGAAACAACCTTTTAGACACTCAGAGAGATTTCCATGTGATATCTCAGGAGTCTCAGATCTCTAGTCTGAGGAATGCTCGAGATGGAGTCTTGACTATGTATCAAGACTTGAAATCGAAGAAATACCTAGAGGATTCACCTGAATGAGGCGATAGCACTAACTCAGATGATGATCCAAGTAACGTCAGATATATAGAACAAAGGTAGCTTCTTTCTTTATTTTCAGTCAAGTTAAGATTTACAATGATGTTGAGCAAGACTGAGTAAGGATCAGAATGGGCAGTCTGAGTAACTCAAGGTGAAGACAGCTCAGTGAAATACATTCTTCCCAAGGAGAAAGCTCTCTAAAGAGGAATACTTTTCACTTTCTCCCTCTATCAATGTCTTGTGGAAAGTAATGTATTTTGTCTTATCTAACAGATTGCAACGGAAAAATAAAGGATCTCCTGAGTACTCTAAAAATCTCTGTATTACCTGTGCGAATTGAAACCGACCTATTCCATCTTCTAAGATAGAAGATCATTCCAAATAAATGAATAGGATCTGTGAGATCAGGGACTAAGGCAGATAAATATTTAGATTATGATAAATCAATGGAAGTAGAATTAAAGCATCTCGAATCTGATCTCAATCAGCAGCTCAATAAGCTGATGTCTTCTCCTGTGGCTAGCCAACAAGATGATATTGACGGGCAATACATTATGCAGCTTGTTGATATAGCCAAAGACTTGATCTACGTGAACAATCAGAGCGAGGAAAGTCTCAAACAGCTTATTCAAATCAGATGAAGGCTTGACTCTATCAGAAGAGGGTTTGAAGGATCTCAGAAATTACTGCTTAAAGTAGAGAAAATATTAATTATCACTAATGCCAAGCTAAAGGAGCATCAAAAGAAGAAAAGGGAAGATTTCCAGTCTCTTCGGGATAGTATCTGGAGTGATGATAAACTTATTTAATCGTAACGGAAATACATAATATATAGGCTCTATTAAGTCAGGATCTTCTAGCAAAAAGACACTCAAGAGGAATATGAGTGGGGTTAAAATTAGAGAAAGTAGTTCCATTATTCTCATATGTAGGTATTGTACTGAATGAATTCCTTGAGAAAGAAAAGAATAATAGCATGTTATCCGCTTCAAAGAATGGCCAAATGCGCCATAAATCTGATTTTATGATGAAGGTATCAAATAGCCAAGCTTCTCTTGCTAATTCTTCACATAATCGCAAGAGCACTCGAAATACAATGAATGATGTTTACCTTAATCCAAGCACGATTCACGTAGAGAACACCAAAAACACTTCAGAGTTATTTTGAAATAGAGAGGAAAACAAAGAAGATTACTACAGATCTCACAAAGAAGAAAATAGGATGACTTTTGAGTCACCTCAAGAAAATATTCAAAAGGAAACTCCTGATTCTTTATCCTATGTAGATGTAAGTACTTATTCGAAAGTCTAAAATATATCTGTTATGTTCTATCTAGCCTCCAAAATCTACTTTATATCCTGCAGAGCAAAACATTTTTAAGTTAAATCCAACCAATCTACTGTTAGAGGCAATGCACACTCCTGGCTTTGGAGCTCCAATTGTTAATCCTAATGAAGGTCTTGAAAATTCAAAATCTGAAGGAAAAGTTGGAGGAAGGAGGACTCAAAAGAATGGAAAGAATACCATCTACAGATCGCGTAGATCCATCCATCGGAACATCTTCTCTCCCAATATCTCCAGGGTTGCTCCATATCCCATTAAAGAGGAGAGTCATGAACAGAGTTCTGAGTATACTACCTCAAAAGCAAGTGCTAAACAGCAAACTAGGGTTCAGAGACTGGACTTTTCTCAAAGACGCTATTAAAGCAAATACTAATTTTAGGGTAATTCAATTTAGGTCGCTGCCAATGGGGTTTTGGGGTTTTGGGGTTTTGGGGTTTTGGGG